GGGGGGGGGGGGGGTTCCATTTGCTTGCTCTTAAATGTTTTCTTGATTTCTCCATTTTTTTTTGGAAAAGAAAATAGACTTGCAAAAATAGGAAAGAGGCCAAGAAGGGAAAACAGAGGAAAAGGAAAATGAGGAAAGAGCTACCAAATTCAAAATGCACTACAAATTTGGATTAAAAAAAGACAGCCTGGCCCAAGCAGTTTTCTGCAGATTTGTTCCATTTTTAAAAAGGTCGCTAGGGGGAAAGGGGGTGAGGGGCGGTGGAGAAATGTCTTAAAAAATAATTGCCATAGTCTCTGCTAGGGACCACTCTTCTAACACAGCTCCTATAACACTCCACTGCCACTGCTTCATGTCGTTCAGTAGCAATGACTAGAGACAAACTCCTTAGAACTGCCCAAGACAGCATTTTTCAAGAGGGCAGGGAAATCTGTACATTTGAAAAATATGAAGCCCTGGGAGAACTGGAGGCCTATAACCTCACTAACACAGCATTTTTCAAGAGGGCAGGGAAATCTGTACATTTGAAAAATATGAAGCCCTGGGAGAACTGGAGGCCTATAACCTCACTAACACAGCATTTTTCAAGAGGGCAGGGAAATCTGTACATTTGAAAAATATGAAGCCCTGGGAGAACTGGAGGCCTATAACCTCACTAACACAGCATTTTTCAAGAGGGCAGGGAAATCTGTACATTTGAAAAATATGCAGTCCTGGGAGAACTGGAGGCCTATAACTTCACTAACACCTGGGACCATTCATAATACAAACCTCTTTTTTTCTGGTCAGCCTCAGCTTCCAGCTATAACTGCAGTATTGAAGTGCCATATGCTTGGGGCAAATGGTGTGGATCTTCATGTTATTAATAAGGGATCCAGCTGCAATTTTGCTCTCTTCAGCCCTTGGTCAGCAATGACCTTCAGCCAGATGGTACTGTGATGGCAAACCCTTGCTGGAGTTGGGACTGGCTGGCAGGGACCACCTGTCAAGCACCCTTGGTTTGGAGGTGGTGCTGCCTGGCCTGATAAGGTGTCAGGCACTGATGGCCATATGGGCTGACAGCGTGCTGAGGCTGGGGAGCTTCTGCAGATTCCCTTAAGTCATTTGGGAAGCCCAAGCTGGGAGATGGTGCTATTTCTCCACAGGGTTAAGCACTGATGGTTATTTGGGGAGACAATAGTTAAGCTTCTTAGGTCTCCACTGCCTTCCCTTAAAGCCTTCAATCTGAAAAATGAATGGATTTACCCAAGCTGAAAGTGGGGTCAAGCACTACGGTCATTTGAGGGGGTTGTGGGGCCCGCACCCAGTCCCACTCCCTTTAAGGCAGTTTTGTGTAGCTTGCTTATGTACCCAAGCCTTGGAGGTGCTGTCCCAATTCATTGCATGGGATCAGCACTTAGCCATTTCAGGAGTTCAAGGTCTGCATGGGCTTTCATTCTTGTCTTAAGGCCCATGGGTGGGATAGCCCCAACAAGAATCAAGCTAGAAGTGGTGCTGAATAGTTTGACAGAAATGTAAAGCACCCTGCCTGCCTCCCTTTGCATCAGGTTTTCACATTCAAATTGCATTATCCACCACTGTCCTGTTTTTCCTCTAGTCTGCTGTTCCATTTCCAAGTTGCCCCCTCCCACTGCACTACTTTTCTTTACAGTTGGGCAATCTTGTAATGACTAAGACAACCATGCAGTTGGCACAATGGCTGAAAAGGGATTCATGGCAGTTGTCATTCAACTTCTCAGGTTGGACAGGACACCTGAGGTTTTGGCCCCGAATAACCTGAAACAAGTTCCCCTTGGCGGTCCTCCAAAATAGCTGGAAAAAAAGGCTGTAGGAAGAGGAGCAGAGCTCAGGAACAGCCCACACAGTAAATAGAACTGAAATGTGTCAGTTGTAACTCAGACCATGGGGCATTTTAGTTGCATCAAACTGTCTCTCCAAATGCTTATTGACTGGGATAGAATATGAGCAGTCACAGTGGAGCATAGCCATGCATCTCCTATTGACAGGAGTTCAGAGCAGGCAACTGGCCATGTACCCTAACAGTTCACCTTTCTTCAGCTGAGAGTAACCTTGGGAGACATCTCATATTAGATGAATTCCTGTGGGGATTTACTCCAATAGGCCAGCAAGCATTCATAGTTCTGGACAGCATCAATCTAGTGCCAAAAAAACAAAACCACAGAACACATGACCAGGAATCTATAGCTCATCACAATGGGTGCAACCTTCATATTAACAACTCTCAGCCCTGCATCACCCAGCGCACAGGACTGGAGCCAACTTTTTCTTCTTGAGCTCCTATTGGCTCAGCTCTCAGATTGTGAGTGTCTTGAACCTACATGATGACTGACTTACAATTTAGGAAATGCCAGTTCAAATCCATGCTTTGTTGAGCCTCACCATAAGACCTTGGCTAAGTAACTCAGTCTCTCTGGATCTCAAGTCCCCATCTGCAAAATAAGTGCAACAACTGTGCCACCGTTCACAGGTGTAAGAGAGTAAGTATTAAAGACTGACATACTCCTTCAAAGAGCTCAGTAATGGGTACCCCTGAAATACTGTGGATGCCCTAGTGCAGAGCTGGTTGATCCAGCACAAAGGGTTAAGAGCTTCCCTAGCTGTAGTCCACTCTTTACTTCTTTGCTTTCAAAACCATTAAACCCACAGTTAAACAACCTAACATACCATCACCAAGGTGAGCACTTGGCTATTAGACCCAACTGAACACCACTGCTTCCAAGAATCATTTACCAGAGCACCATCCATTTGCAGGGGCATGAGGGAGCAGGAAACAGAGGATTAGATCACAGGTGAAACCACCCTATACAGCAGACTGTGCAAGGGCCTCATTAGCATCTAGTGCAGGTCCCCACTAAAATAATAATAAAAGACAACCACCTGGGTCCTGTTCAGTCTATAGAGAAAGCTGTTTCCCTCACAGGAGCACAATACACAAGAGCTGATATCACACCCACCCCCTTAACAGAAAACTGCAACTTGGTGGGGACTGATTTGATTTAATGCCCCTCAATCGAAGTTTGATCCCTTCCTGCTTGTGCAGAAAGTGTCCTGCAGGATGCAGCCATGTGGCTAGTTCATGGGGGAGAGAAAGAGTACTCAGATGCACAGAAGGAACAGACCACAGAGACAGCCAGCTAGGAAAATTTTTTTTAATTAATTAAGTACAATAAAATATAAGCCATGTACAGTACCCCAGTCTTTGGGGGAGACTCACTCAGAGCAAGGGAGGTGGAGGGGCAGTGTTCCCAGGCAAAGGTCCCTGGGACTTTGTACAAAGGGCCCTGGAGTTCCCCAGACAACAAACAAACAAACAAACAAACAAACAAACAAACAAACCACC